AAGGATCCTTGTCGGCAGCCATGGGTTGCTTCGTCCAAGGGGACCTTGTAGATCTGGGGTGAATGTTTGTCTAAGGGGACAAATTTGAATCAACCTTAGCTAACAGAGGGCTTTGTGCCCTATCTATCATATCCTATTGATTCATGTCTCAAGGATTTGATGTCATTAAGGAATGTATTGGCTCTGCCCATAATCGATATTTCGTGCTGCCATTTGGCAGCAAAATCACTCGGTTCAGAGGGCCCCGGGTCATAACCGTTTTTCTGCGGTGTTATTTGGCGGCAAAACCGCCGGTTAGAGGACACGTACCACATCCTTATTGGTAGGAGATTGTTTGAGAATGGATCCTAGTGATATTTTCGACTAGGCATTAGCTCTATGTGAGCTGAATTTATTTTCGAATTTGTCCACCTCGGCAAACTATTGCGGATAGTGGATGAATTTTGCCTTAAGTACTCGATAGGTTGGATTTCAATTTTAAAAATTTGGATTTTGATATTTTGCGGAGTTTTGGGTTTTTTTTAATATTTGGAGTAACATTTTGAATTATTTGAAATGGACCTCTCTGGTTGAGATATGCATTCAACACGGCCATCATCGGGGTGTTTAGGGTCACATCCATTTAACGCTTGAACCTTATCGACCCTATCAACTTGCCGATAGGGGATCGGGTTTCGTAGGCTTTATGCCTTTATTAGTGAATTCTCTTAATTATAAGCCTTGAAGGTCTAATATGAATGTATTAAAACAAATATACCGGTCGCCACAATCGTATATTCATTTGATGGTTCGAACCCTGTCGACTCCTATCGATCCGCATAGAAGGATCGGGTTCGAACTTGAATTCACTTATTGACCCGCGCAGCATTCCTAGACGTCATATATGTACCAATAACATGCTCGCAGGGGCCCATGCGGTTTTTTGGGGGCATTTTGTAATTATTTGTTGAACCTTGTCGACTCCTATTGACCCTTATAGGATGATTGGGTTCAAACTTAGATTCATCATTTGACCCGCGCAGCATCCCCAGACATCATGTGTGTACCAATAACACACTCGTCGGGGGCCAAGCATGTTGCGATTGTATTTACCCCTTTAGTGTACCTATGTGCATACAAATTACGGTGCATGTGCAGAGGTACTTTGAAATATTTAAATTTTGCTTGTGAGTGGTACATTGAATGTATATAAGTTTGCTACAATAGCTCTCGTAGGACCTCATATATATTGAAGTTCTCTTTGTGTATTTGTTCGTATATAGAACTTTGTGTATGTAACAAGTCTCCTACGGAGATTCATAAGAGTTCGCATTTGCCACCAACCTCTTCATGCACATTGATTGGTAGGTTGTTTTATCCACTTGCATATTGGTTGCTGCATATATCTGCAAGTCCACAAGTATTGATTGGTGGGATATCGTTGTATTCATTGCATATCCCTTGAGTTCATTTGTATGTTAGTAAAAGACTTCTTGTTTGGAGGAACTACTATGTTTTCTTATGAAATTGACATGAAGACAACAGTCAATTTCAATATTTTGAATGCATTTGTTTATGTCTTGACGTTGATCATAGAACATTGTTGCATTCATTGTGATGACTATTGATAAGTCATTATATTCGTTCATTGCATGTCAAACCCTCTTGCTCGTAGAGGAGGAATCTACATTTGCTTATAGATAGACTGTTGTGTGAATAAGAAGTTTTCCATAGTAATTTGTAGGGACTCGCATGTGTTCCAAATATACTGCATTGTGTATGTTTGTAGGAGACTTTGTTGCATTGGTTGCATATAAGTTGATGCTGATTGCTCAGGTAAGTTGCATTCAATGTTGCTTGTAGCATATTGTGTGCACTCCAACATTTGTAGTGAACAAAAATGTGCCACACTTATTGTTGATTTTCCTATGCAAACCAAATTTCTTTGTTTACAGGGGCAGTTGAATTTTCTTGCACGACGATGTGGATACCACTTGTTCTCATTTGCAAGTTGATTTTGCTTGAATGTTTCATGCCATTTAATTCTATCATTCATCATTTGTATGCCTTGAGAATTGATTCAACATTGTTTATGATTTCTTGCTTGTACATTTGCATTTGATCCTTCTTTTGATGTATCTTCTTGGAGTTAGATTGTTGTTAGTGATAGGGGTATAAGAGCTTTCTCTATCCCATCACAAGTCATTGAGCAAGATTCCTCCATTGAGCGTCTAGATTCTTAGCACTTGTGAAAAAATCCTATGCTATTGGTTGTAAGTATATCACCACATTCTTCATTTGAACATTGAACGTAGGTTGATATTCACTCGAATGCATCCACGTGTGTTACCTTGTTATATTTATTACATATCAAACCCTTCTAGTGGCATTTGATTGCATGAGTCTTCCTCATCAATTGTGAGTAAATGATGTTTGTAGGTTCTATAGTCATTACAAAACTTCCTTTTCACCACAAGTTCCATATATGTTCCTTTATATTTAGTTTGGATCTTTGTTGGCATTATAGCATCTTGATGTTGATTGAAGACTTTGTCATGTTGATTGTGAGCATGTCATATTGAAAATTCCTTGTCATTCAATACAAATTCTATGCTTATTTACTTGTACTCAATTAAGAGCTCATCACTTGCATTTTACCCATGAGCATGCATATCCTTATACTTGTTGCAACTATCCAATCCTTTCCATTAGCAAGGATATTGTGAGTGTTGCATACTAGTTACCACCATTCATGGATGACTTGTAATGTTCATTGAGGATTTTATATATTTGTTTGCTTATAGTTTGATCAACATTATCACTTTGATTTTAGTACTTTCATTTCAATCTTATATTTGTCAATTCTAAAGTTCAATCCCATGTGGTCCTGAAAGCTCAAGTCTTGTCCCTCGTTCATGTTTGAGTTTAGGTATAGTTAAGGCTCTTAATGAACCTCTTCCATTCGTTCGGATCCCCCGTAGTCCAACTCAAGTATTTGCTTGAGTTCAAATTGTCCAAGTTCAAGTTCTCATTTGATCAAATTCGAGTTCAAGCGTTCAATTCTTTGAGTTCAAATTCTTCTTGCTTAAGTTTAATTTTAAGTCTTTTCTTCAAGTTTACACTTAGTTCATAAATGTCCAGTTCAAGTCCCATGTTGTTCGAATATTATTCAAGTCCTTTGCATTTCAAACAGAATTTCGGCAGCCTCCCAGCGTCTCCACCGTTTAGGGGAAAAAACCAAGAGGCACCCTTCCCCTCGTCGCTACTTGAGCGCTTCAGGTAGGTGTCAAATGACATCGCGGTTGTATATTATTTTTTAAATCCTCGCCCGCTACATGAGCGTTTAAGAGTTTCAAGCACATTTTTTAAAAGAGCATAATTTTTCTTTCCCCCCTCCGTACTACATGAGTGTTTTGAGGTACTTATTTTTCGTCCCCCTCATGCTACATGAGCACTCAGGGAATTACCCGCCTCGTTGCAAGCGCCGTGCCGGTTTTCCTTTCTACTACACTACGTGAGCGCGTAGGGGGTTTGCCGGCTCATCGCTAGCCACGAGAGAAGAATTTTTTTGAGTTAGAAGTTTAATACCTTTGCAATCGGAACGGCGACGACGGCGGAGATAAAAAAAATGCACGAAAATACATTTCTCTTTTTTTATGTATTTTCTTTTCTTTTTTTTTACAAAAGATAACAATAATAATAATAATACAAATATGATATTAATACTAAAATTTATAAGTGCATTACCATTATACTATCGCTATCACTTAACATTAATAACATCATTAATAAATAATAGTAGGTATTAATAATAATATATATAATAATATAATATTAACACTAACAGTAATGACAAAACAAATAGAGAGAGGGGGAGATCGGGACAAGCCTTCCTATAGAGGAGTTCGGTGGATGTTCGGCTAGGGCAGAGGTAGGGGAAGAGCTTGGCGTCGGGACATAGGAGTTGATTGCAGGGATTCAACTGGAGCTGGAGTTCGGAGTTAGGGTGCAGAGATCGAAGGAGGACTGAGAGTCAAGTAGGAGGTTTGGAGACGAGAGCTCTGGCTTGCGGCTTTGAGAGCATCGTCGAATAGGGGTTAGGCAGAGAGCAGGAGGAGGTAAGGGGATCGGTCGGCTTCAGTAGGTAGTGATCCCTCTCTCCCTATTTCGCTTTCTCTCTAGGTTCGAGGAGCAACGGGGTCAGGACGGATATCAGATCGGAGAGCTAGAATGGCAGGTTGGCTTCGATCTCAGAGGGAGGAGGTAAAGGCATCTGAGGCTTTGGAGGTCTTAGGTGGAAGGTCTTGAGGGATTCACCAGTGGGAAGAAGCAGCCGAATGCTTCATTCGGTCTGCTTTTAACGATAGAGAGAGAGCGGGACTGAGGTGCTCGATGTGTGCGTGAAAGGACCCTTCGGCGCTGTTTGCAAGCTGCGACACTGTAGCGACAGAGCGGGATTTCTGCAGGATATCGGCATGGGCAGTGGCATTTGGGCTCAGGTAATGATTTAGGTTATATATATATATATATATTATTTTTGTTTATCATAACATAGGCCAACATTTCTTATATTTTTTTAAATGTAAATTTAATTGCATTTTAATGCTTTTTTTAGTTGCCATAATAAAAAAAAATCCTATATCATCATTTGTCACAATCATAACACCTTAGTTCGAAGCTAGAAGGTGATAGACATTTGTAATGCATAACTAGCGCAATTGCACTGGCAGAAGTTTGTAACCTGGACACATGATGGGATGAAAGCTTGCCAATACAAATTAAAGGAACAAAAATCATTTATAAGCAGATTTTCAGGAGCCTGCATTTATGAGTGGGATGAGAAAATCATAGCTGTTTGACTGAGAAGTCTAACAAGCCTCCATGTCAGAATTTGTGACAGTATTTGATAAAATAGGGTGTCATACAGAGTAACAGGACAAGATATGAAGTAATAAATTTTCCCAAGAAAACATTAACAGGCTAACATAACAAAAAAGAACGGAAACAAATTTAGGAGAAAGTTGAGCTGTACCTCAACAAATGATTTTCCACCTGGATTTCTCATGTCACACATCCAAAAATATGAATGACTCCCAGGCAGAGTGTCATCACTTATTTTCAGGTTTCCAAGGGCAGCTTTTATACTGAAGGAAGATGAAAATACCTTGAGCACCAAAGAATCTCAAATAAGTCTAAAAGCAAAAAAAAATTAGTAGGACGAAACAGTAAATATTATAATTTCTACAAACCTTGATATCAGCGAGCAAATTACTTTGTGACAATGTAGCAAGAGAGACCCCATCCTCATTCATCAAAAATATCTGAGCTGTGGCCATATTAAGCGACAGGTAAAATATAATTCTGGTTTTTCCTTTGTCTAGAAACCCTTTCGCAACTGGCTCCTGGACGATGTTGCTATAGGGTTCATCAACTGAATCTAATTTCAAAGTGCTACTGCCGGCCTTGGGAGATTTGCTAACATCCCCAGCAGGATCATGGATGTTTTCCACAGCATTAATAGCATTAGCAAATCCCAATATTGCAAGAATAGTTGGTCGATGACAGAAGAATGACAATGTAGCCAGAGTAATTACAACCTGGTTGGAAGATCAAATCTTGAAAGGCTCAACATTAAAGAATTAAATCATCAAAAAAAAAGTTAGGTAAAAGAGTATAATCTTACTCTATTATCCAAGTTATTGTAATGAAGAGAATCCTGGCCATACAAGATCAGCTGTGCTTTCACAAAACTATCCATAATATCAGTAGTTTCCAAATTTGAACTTCTAGTTGTAATATCAACATTGGGTATTAAACCAGGAACTCGTCTAAAGTTAGGAGGCTTCATGGAAGATCTTAAAGATGGAGAGGAGGCTAGAGCAGCAAAATACTCTGACATACTACCACTTCGTTGAGTAGGATACAAACCAACATCATCAAGTTCATCTGATGCTTCGAAAAACTTATCTTCATTGTCAGCTTGATTTAATTGATCATTGTCCCGCATAGCTTGGTTTGTATTCTTTATGAAAGATCTTGCAAGATATCTGGGCAAAGCTACTCCAGCAAGTTGATATTTATCTAATATCTCAAGTGATTTCAATAGGGTGCCCATATAAATTACTTTTTCCCTAACGGAAAGCTCAACCTGTTCAAGGACAAAGTAAAAGTTTAGAGTGAAGGAAGAATCATCTTAAAAAGAAGACATGAATATGGCTCGATCGAGATACCTGACCACCCAATGCACGGAACTCAAACAATTGGCTCTCATTGCCTAGCAGCACTTTTTTAAAATTCAAATTGCTCTGTTAATAAAAAAAGAATCACTTTATAAACAGTCGGAACTTTATTTAGAACTTTTTGTAGTCTATAACTACAAGATTGGGATGCTACCTCATAATTAGAGCTAAAACAAACTCTTAGTTCATCAAGGACACCAGTAAAAAAAATTTTCTCCATATTCCAAACATCTGGAAATATCTTGCTATCAGAGGATTTTGGGGTTGTAACATCAGTGGTAGATGACATCTCAGTAAAGCCAGTGATGGAAGCAGAACCCTAAAATAATAGTATATAAAACTTCTTTAAAGCTTCTAAATAAGTTGACAAAAATAAAGACACGTGGAGATTAAAAATTAGATTTTGAATCAATGACATACAAGCTAACAAGCATATTGCGCCAACTTTTTTGAAATAAAAAAAATACCAAAAAAATGATATAAAATAGAATAAAGCCAGCTTTATCTACATGTGGACCTAAAACTTCGTTAAATCTATATGAATTAATAATGCCGCCCAGCTATCAAAAATAGAATCCCTAGTTGCATCCCTAAAGAGCCTCTAAGCCACCACCTCAGCATCTTGGCAAACTCTCCCTGCATGGATCCATGCAAGGCTCCAAATTTTGCTTTTTTTTTTCTTCTTTCTTTTAACGCTTTCCTTCTTTATTGTGTGCCGTTTTCTGATGTTTTTGGTTCTATTTTCATGCAAATGTTTCGTCTATACACTACTGGAAACCACCAGCACCTGAAGCTAACTACAGCCACCCTTCCAAATCGCTGAAACCAACACTGGAGCCTCCCTTCCAGTCAGACACCAATATTCACTTTCTAAATTAAAAATCCTACTAAATCTCCTTAGTCAGCTTTAAAAAAAAAGTCAGCAATCCAATACAAATTCAAAATCATTAGCGACCATCATTTTCTCTTTTACCGACAAGCTCTTTCAAACTGAACAACATTAATTTTTTATAGACATCGACTCTAATTGATTGAAATACATATCCGAACTTTGACTTGCTTTACTTGATCTATGATAACAAAAAAGGGAATTAGGCGAAATCTTTTTTCCCCTTCTTTTTCATAATCAAGTCAAACATTGTTACCAGCCGAATGATTGTCAAGCTCTTTTCTGATTGAGCATTTTCCTCAAAAATTGGCAGCTTTTGAGTGGAACTCGCATAAAAAATTTTATCTGCTTTTATTGATTTATGATAACAAAAGTGGAACAGTAGTTCATTTTTTTCTTCCTATTCATAATCAAGCCAGATGTTGTTCCAAGCCGTATGAATATCAAAGTCTTTTTCTAATTTAACACATGAGAGAAGGTGATTGCATGCAAAAGGCTTCAAATGCAGCTAAACTTTCATGTTCTTTTTTCAACGTTTCCATAGATCACTCCATTCACTTAGCCTTTCTATCAAAGTCTTTTCTAATTGAGCACATGAGAGAAGGTGAATGCACGTAAAAGGCTTTAAATGCAGCTAAACTTTCTTGTTCTCTTTTCAACATTTCCATAGATCCCTCCATTCACTTAGCCTTTCTAAACAAAACTGGTAAGAAGTGGATGCAAGTTCCTCAAAATTAGTAAACGGCAATAAGAAATTAGGAAGAAGAATACACAAGAACTCCTTTTTTTTTTATTGAAAGAACTAAGAAGAAAAATACAAGATACAATTGGATCTTCAATTGGAGAGGAAGATCCGGCTCTCCCAAATCCTTAGCCATCGGCTAGAGTCCACTCAACCTAAACAAAACTAATTCCAGCAAAATCAAGCATAATCTGAAATAACCCCATAGTTAGCCTTAAATAGGCTCCCCTAATTCCCTCCCAAATTAACCCCCTTCTCTTAAAAAATTCACTCTCAAATTTGAATTCAAATTAGATCTCTTTCCCTAATTAATTCCTTCTCAATTATAATTAAAACTTTCCTAAACAATTCCCCCTTAATTCCTCCTTACATAATGAATATTAAATCCCATGGGTTTTCCCTAAATAATTCTCTCTCAGATTTTAAATTCAAATTAGATTTATTTCCCTAATTAATTCCCTCTTAGTTGTAATAAAACTTTACTAAACAATTCTCCTTCTCTCTTCTTGCCCGCTGCCCACCATAGTGTGGCCCACCGGTCAATCAAAAACCCTACAATCCCCACCCCTGGGGGCTTTGGCAAAGGAAGCTAAGAAGAGAAAAACTTGAAAAAACCCGGCTCCGGCTACCTTTAGCCGCTATAATACACTATATATATTATTAAACAAACCAAGCATTCACTAAATCATCAAATTTTAAACCTATTTTTTTAAAATGCCGGGAAGCATTCTCATCATATATAAGCAAATTTACATTTTATGCATTATATGTTAAAAAAGGTAGAAAACAAGAAACAACTAAGTCCATGCATTGCAAAAATAAAGAAACATAATGAACTTAAAAGAAAAGCTATGCTATGAGCGATAATAAACAAAAGTTGATTTAATCAGAGAGACTTTTCTATGAAGAGGTGTATCAATGAATATTTTACAATTAACTTACAGCAGATAAGTAAGGAGGAGCATGTCACATGGAATTAAACAAACCAGAAAACATAAATTTATACTGAGGCATCTAACAGATCATATTTTTTTGACAAGGATCATTTGTCGCTGTATGATAAGTGATATGATGGTTTCTTGCTGTCATATAGCAATAATACTCAACATTTTCCATGTATGCGCAGTTTACCGAACAATGACTAAAAAACAAAAAACACCTCGAGACCTCAACCTCATGTCGTAGATGAATGAAAATCATAACAAAAAAGACCATCAATCCTGATTAAATTATGATTAGCTAATCTAAAAGATGGATGACTTTGCAATCTTCAAGAAGTTAAGACATTCATTTTTATGTATATCTATAGTTACAGAATTCTGCTTCTTTCCATATCAAAAAATTATAAATTAAAATCAATGATCCTATACTTCCAGAAGAATGATCATTCAAATAAACTGAACAACAAACTAACATGCAGACAACACAAATATGGACACAAACAGAAAACGTATAAACACTAACAGAGCGAGTTAGAGACATGCATTATGCTTTCACATATGCATATAAATACACAGAGATAATTTGTAGACACAATTAGTGAAGGTGATGAGGACATCCACAAGAGATTTCGACATACTTATCATTGGAGGAATCGTAGATCGATGGCTACAATTCATAGTCTCTATTTATGATATTTTAGTGTATTTCTTTTATTTACTTTTCAGTTTTCCACTTGTATCCCTATGAGGGATTTGTTTCATGTTGTAGCCTGAGGGCATATGAGTCTTTTACATTTTTTGCTTTTGGAGGCCTATATATTAAGGCCTAGTCATTGTATTATTTGCTAATGATGATTATGAATGATAATTCTGCTTTTCTTACTTGATCTCTTTGTGAGTTCTTGAGAGGAGAACCCTAGGTGAGGGTGAGAGCAATACCCGTCAACCTTGGAGGATTTCGAGGTTCGCGGTTCTTAAATTCTCCTTTCCCTTAGACCTCAACACAAACCCCACCACCAACCACCCACCGGCTTACCCTCCCTGTGGCCCATCCCCGCCTTGAACCGAATTTCCCCTCCCAACGCCGTCGGCCTCCCTTGGCCGCCCCAACCGCCGGCCACCACCTACCCAGCCGCTGGCATCCACCCCTCCACCCGTCCCTCTCCACAAGCCCAACCTGCCGGACCCAGTCCCCTAGCCAACCTAATTTGAATTTCAAATTTCAAATTGCCTTTAAATACACCCTTGCTATTTAGGAAAGGATATTTATTTGAATTCAATCAACTTTTGAATTTCAAATACCTTCCTATTAATTAAAACACAATTAGGAAGCTATCCTAATTTCAATCAAATCTGAAATTGAAATCAGATTTGATTTCAATCAAATTAATTCCTTTGGGCCCACATAAGTTGAATCTAGACATGCACCCTCCCTCCTCTTATGGCCGGCCCCCTTCCCCTCGTTTTTCTCTCTCCAATTAAATCCAAAACCCCAATTAATACTCCCACAATCCACTCCTAAAACAGCCGCCCCCCATAGCTTTAAATTGGGTTGTTTTGAATTCAAATTAATCCTTCTCCCTCCCTTTAGAAAATCTGAAATTAAAATCAGAATTTTCTAATTAATTATCCACCACTCAACCAATCCAAATCACCTCCACCTCACCTTGCCCAAGCCGCCCTTCTCCTCTACTCGCCCCCTTCCCTCTCCTCCTCATTACCCGCCAACTACCACTATCCACCACCCCTCTCAACCTCTTCCAACAGGCGGCCCCATCAAGGAACACCACACGGATACTCTCAAGCTCATGAATGGCAGACCTTGAAGTCGACCACGGATTCGTTTATAATTCTCAAGGGGATATTGACATCATTCAATCACCCTTCTTCGATCCCGGATTTGGATCCGAAGGCACCATCGAGGAATACATGGAGAGCATTTTCTTTACTTTGGTGGATGTCATCGACGAGAAACACCCTACATGACAGTGGAATATCACCAGACGACCACCCAACTCTCCAACTCAGGCCAACTTCCTGTTGATCAAAACTGTCGGCATCCTCTGTCTTTCAGTGGCATCACTTGGCTTGCTAACATTCGTCCTCCGCTAACCCTACTTCCAAAGAGCAAGCGAGAGGGAAACTCTAAGATGAAAGCTCTATTTGTTAAGTGACAGATTATCGTTAATTGCATATTTGTTTTACTATTTTCTTGTTATTATTTCGGATCGTTCTGTTAATCTAACATGTAATTGCATGCTTGAAGCAAGTTAATAACCACGAAAATTGAAAGTCTTAACTTAGTGAAACATTAATCCTATAATTTCATAGTTAAAACAGTTTTCTTATTAAAATCTTGCAATTCCATTGTTTGTTTCACATCAGAAGGACAATCAAGTCTACACACTAAGGATGAAAAGGATGGATTGACTCATTGTATAGTATTAAGTTAAGAGGAATTTCAATTATTTTGAAAAAAATTAGCATTGATAGAAACATTTTGAAGCAGCAGGTGCTAAGGTGGAAACATTTAATGTAGCAATGATTAAAATAAAAGATATTTTGCTACTACAACTCTTTGGATATATAAGAATTTTTGTGAAAAAAGCACAAAGAAAATGACCAAGTTTATTGCCATAATTCTAGTGTGATCATTTTGATGCCCAAACTTCTATTACTCTTAAATTTGGTCGCTCACCAAAATTTGACTCTTTTAATCCCTCAACTTGACACTTTTGACAAGTTGG